AAAACAAAATTTACTTGGACGGCAGAAGCAACGACGGCATTTGAAACGCTGAAGAAAGCCCTCACCTGTGCACCCGTTTTGGCTCATCCAGATTTTGGGAAGCACTTCTGGATCCAGTGCGACGCCAGCCATGTCGGAATTGGGGCAGTGTTATACCAACAAGACGTAGAGGGATCGGACCGACCAATAGCTTTCTTTTCGGCGAAACTCAGAGGAGTACAACTGAATTACAGCGTCACCGAGAAAGAGTGTCTTGCCGCAGTAAAAGCCGTGGAAAGATTCCGGCCATACGTGGAGTTGATTCCGTTTACAATCGTGACCGATCATGCAAGGCTTCAATGGCTTATGACGTTAAAAGATTTAAACGGAAGACTGGCGCGGTGGTCACTAGCATTGCAGGCATTTGACTTCAATATCGAGCACCGGAAAGGGAAAGACAACATCGTGGCTGACATGTTATCCCGACCGAACGAGGTAGCCGAAGTAGAGTTCTTCGATTTCGAGACAACGGAGTTTGGGAGTCCCGAATTTCTGGAAAGACTGCGATTAATTGAAGAGCATGGAAATGATAAGTTTCCGGACTTACGTGTGGAAGAAGGACTTCTCTTCAAGAAGACACAGTTTAATAGGGAAGAAAGCGAAGAGTTTGAATGGAAACTATGGATTCCTGAAGCTCTGACGACGACTTTGATCCAGCAAGCTCACTGCGGCAACATGGCAATGCATGGAGGTATGGGAAAGACTTTAGCGAGACTCCAACAGATGTTTTACTGGCCCAAAATGGTAGTTCAAGTCCGAGAGTTTGTAGCAGCTTGTGAAAACTGCAAGGAAAACAAACATACAACACAGATAAAACGACCAATGATGGGAAAGGAAGTAGAGTCAGACCGACCCATTCAAAAGTTGTACTTGGACTTCTTAGGAAAATATCCGCGCTCCCGCCGAGGAAATACCATGCTGTTCATCGTGTTAGACCACTTAACCAAATTTGTATGGTTAAAAGCGATGCCGAAAGCCACGTCGACAGCTGTAATCCGATTCCTGCAAGAAAATATTTTCACACAATATGGAGTTCCAGAAATTATCCACACGGACAACGGAGGACAATTCATCTCCCAGGAATTTGAAAATATGTTGCAAGAATATGGGATTACACATATGAAAACAGGAAGATACGCACCGCAATCCAATGCTTCAGAAAGAGTAAATCAATCAGTATTAGCCGCAATTCGAGTGAACATCCAGGACGACCACACACGATGGGATGAACACTTAGCAGACATCCAAGCGTCGTTGAGGTCATCTGTCCATAACAGCACTGGAACTTCTCCATACTTCGCCATGTTCGGCCAACATATGTTTACACATGGGAAGGATTACTCACTGGCTCGCAAGCTGAGTGCTCTCAATGAAGCAGAAGTGGCCCAATTGCCCAGATCCGATCGACAACAGCTGTACAGGAAGAAAATAAAAGAAAGGATACATCTGGTCATGTCAAAAGTGATGAAGAACCGTCAACAGAACGTGAGGCTCGACTCAGTCAGGTTATATATAGAGCTGAGAGAGAAAGAATCTTCAGTAGACATTGAACTCAGAGCCAGAGAATCATTAGCACCAGTTACTAATTCATGGGTAAATAAATGAATTATGAATATGATCCCATGATTTCTTACAAGGACGATCGTGTAGTATCAGGTACTATGTCAGTAGTGTGTGAACATTACTTGGCATTAAAATTCAAGGAAGAATCGAAAGAAATGTATAGCGTACAAGAAAAATTCAAATTAAAAGAAATTTACATATCTTGACTCATAATAAAGCAATAGGTTAATAAATTTTTTAGGTAAGTTTTTCCCATCTGGCAATATACAAATTTCTACATTTTTCAGCTATGTAATATGGTGATACGAGTTTTTATCCTAACCCTGATGTATACAGTTCAACAACTACGTAAAGGACTTCTTTCTACCAGTAACGGTTGTAAAATGCTTTCACTATTTGACACTATTCGCGCTCGTTGGGATCCCCAAACTCATGTTGCGATTCGACACCACGTGGACGGCCGTTCATAATAATGCCTATATTTACGAAACAATTTTTTTTATTAAAAGCAAAAACTGTCACGACTGATTTTTACGTGCCCAATTACTTCTGCAACCCCACATTTAAAACATGGTATAAATAGTAACCAGCAACTAGAGAATTCAACAGACATTGGTTGGCTCTAAAAAATGCTGTACAAACCTTCCGCAGCCAGATATCCATCTTCTATCCTGCAGTTGATACTGTTCATGACACTAGCTGTGACTGCCTGTTGTAACTCTGGTCTGAAAACAGTACCAAAGAGAAGTATCCTTTTAGAAGACAATGCACCATGGGCACCAGAGAGTGGATCGCGACACCTCAAGAGAAGCTGGAGCGGTAGATATTCGGTGGGAATAGGCCCAACACCTAGTGAAGTGACAAACGCCATTACAGAAGCCCACAAAGCCAGATCTAACGTTGTAATTGCCCAGCAACAGTTAAATGCCGCTAAAGAAAATGTGTTAAACCAACAACGGATTGCTATAGAAAAGCGAACGCTGGCTATAATTATAAATCAAAAGTCTCAAGCTGCAGCTGCCATTCAGCGCTCTGAGGCCATACAACAACGGATCGCCGCATCGAAGGCAGAAGTGGCTCACGCTGCTGCTCATGCAGCTGCGGAAGAGATACAAAAGACTAAACACGAAGCTGCCAAGCTCGGCTACTTAACACAAAATGTACACCACAGCGCCGGGCAACTCATCTACTCCTTGACCCCATCCAACAAGCATTTATCCGTATCTAATCTAAAAAATATAGGCATTGGCCCTTGGCTAGATGGCAATGGAAACACTCCTTGAAAATCAGTTAATGACTGATAAAGTAAAAAAATAATGTAATAATTTTTAGGCTTAAAAACATTTGAAAATAAACTAAGCCAAAACTCATTCAAAATTTAAATAAATCATCATGGCTGGATTAAGGGCAGGGGGAGGGGCCGCGGACCTGGGCCCCCCCACAAAAAAAGCTAACAAATACGTTTTTCAATTTTTTAATGCAGAAATCGTGTTGCGTTTGTACCTATCGATTATGGTGACTAATTGAACATGTGAAAGATCGTTTTCGAAAATAAAATTGATCAAAAGTCTACTTCGTTCGAGCATGGAAGAAGATCGTTCATTTGATACTTTTGATGATATTGTTAAGAATTTGGCAAATGAAAAATGCAGTAAAAAAGCCTTTTAAATAAAAAATAAATAAAAAGTACGTTTGTTTTTACTGTATACAGATGCAATTTGAAACAATTTAGTTATGTTTTACTCTACTCTTCTAGGCTGTACTAGATGAGTAAGTTAAAATTGTGATAATAAATAAATAAAATGATTTGAAGACTTAACCTTTTTGCATTATGTAAATAATTTCTGACCGCTAAAGGGCCCCAACACTTTGATCGACCAATAAAAGTATTGTAAAAAGGCAGAAAGTCCTCATGTTTTTATTTGTTCTACAAACATTTCTTAAGAAATCTGCCAAAAAAATTAAAGCATTACAACAGATAACATGCAAAACAAAACCAACCGGCATGCTTATGCTTATGCTTATTTTGAATCTTCTTGTCAAAAGATGTCTTATTGTCCTTAGGTGCACATTGTGACCAAAATCGCCAGCTAAATATCTTATTAATTTTCCTTCCATCTCACGAAACCTAAATAAGAGCGTTTTACTCTTTCTTGAAATTGGTGTTTCTGCAGGAAAGATTATTATTATTGTTGTGTTTAGTCGAACAACTAAAATAAAAAATTTAATTTCATAAAAATCGTTACTCAATATTATACATCCTCTATAGAAAAAACAAAAAAAGCCGTATAACAAAAAATCAAACAGTTGAAACAATTATGGACAATAAATAAAGACATCTTAAGTTTTATTCTTTTGCAGTTAGAATTGCAAAAATCTGATAAAATCTAAAAAAAGAAAATTAATGAGGTATTTAGCTGACACCTAAGGACAAAAAGACATCTTTTAACAAGATGATATCTAAAACACACTCCCAATATCAACCCAAAATCTGCAGGATCTCCAGACTCCACAAAGTTTTAATCTGAAACAAATGCAAAATTGGTGATCGATTGTGAATAGATGCTATAAATACATGAACGAGTGTTATAATGATAACACTGTGCGACAAAAAAATGTTTGAGTTGATTTTTTCTTATTTTTCACTTCTACTAGTCAAAATAAGAATACAAGTTTTTGGATTTGTTAATATCAATAGCCAATCAGCTTCTACGCACACTCAAAGGTCCCAAAAACGCGTGTTTTTGCATATTTCACAGCCTTATAATACCATATTGGGAAAATATTTTTTCACCGTTATAAGCGTTAATGCAAGTTCAATATCTATTAATTAAAATGTATTAAGCAAATATACCGTTAGGCTTTTATAACAATGCTTTAAAAATTTTTTCTCCCAGCTCTATACTCTGGGCGACTTTGTATGGAACTTGTTACGCGAGGATACCTCTGAAAAAGCCAAAAAAAATCAGAAAAAAATTTCACTTTTAAAAAAAATAATAGTTTATTGGAAGTAAAAAAAAAATATAATATTTTGTGTTAAATATTTTCATAATAATAATTTCATAAAATTTATCATAAAAAAAGAAATCCTATCACTTAGAAGGTGGCATAAATATTTTTGTGCATAACTTATGCCCCTTAACCGAAAACAATCAAAAAAGTAACTCAAACAAACATTTCGTTAAATTTTGTCGCACAGTGTAATCTATAATTTCTTAAGATATATTCAAAGAACAAATAAAAAACACGTGGACTCACATTCTTTTTACAATACTTTTATTGATTTCTTTATGTTTTACCAGCTCCTATCTTAAACGAGTTTTTAAGGATTCTTAAGCCTAAAAATACAAAGCATTATCAAAAATTATTTATTTATTTTATCATTCATTAACTGGTTTTCAAGGAGTGTTTCCATTGCCATCTAGCCAAGGGCCAATGCCTATATTTTTTAGATTAGATACGGATAAATGCTTGTTGGATGGGGTCAAGGAGTAGATGAGTTGCCCGGCGCTGTGGTGTACATTCTGTGTTAAGTAGCCGAGCTTGGCAGCTTCGTGTTTAGTCTTTTGTATCTCTTCCACAGCTGCATGAGCAGCAGCGTGAGCCACTTCTGCCTTCGATGCGGCGATCCGTTGTTGTATGGCCTCAGAGCGCTGAATGGCAGCTGCAGCTTGAGACTTTTGATTTATAATTATAGCCTGTGTTTGCTTTTCTATGGCAATCCGTTGTTGGTTTAACACATTTTCTTTAGCAGCATTTAACTGTTGCTGGGCAATTACAACGTTAGATCTAGCTTTGTGGGCCTCTATAATGGCGTTTGTCACTTCACTAGGTGTTGGCCCCAATCCCTCCGAATATCTACCACTCCAAGGGCTTCCACTCACACCTCCTGCTGGTGACCATGATGTATAGTCTTCTGAAAAGATACTTCTCTTTGGTACTGTTTTCAGACCAGAGCTACAACAGGCAGTCGCAGCTAGTGCCATGAACAGTATCAACTGCAGAATGGAAGAAGGGAAACTGGCTGCGGAGGGTTTGTACAGCATTTTCTAGAGGCTACCAAAATCTGATGAATTTTCTTGTTGTTGGCTACTATTTATACCATGTTTTAAATGTGGGGTTGCAGGGGTAATTGGTCACGTCAGAAAATCAGTCACGACTATTGCTTTTTATGTAAAAAATTGTTCCCTATATAACTATTATGAGCGGCAGACCAAGCAGTTACGAATTGTAAGAAGAGCTTTGTAGATTCAAGTTATTTTTACTCAACGCAACTCTAAAATTTGGAAGATATATTTGAATTCTATTTATAAATACGCACCGAACGATATTTTTATATTGGTATCGTGAACTGTAAGAGCTAAAATATTTTGTATAGTAAACACTTTGTCACCACCACCATTTTGTTGGGCTGGCTTAAAATATTTTGAGATATGTTAGTGATAAAGTTGATATAAATTTGATTTCAAAATATTACAAACATTTTAAAATAATAACCTTTGCCATTAAAATATTGATATCATAAATGTTGAGTGCTTAATATGCAATTAATACTTATTTAATGCTCTTAAAAAAAAAAAAAATTGTTTTTGATTTTTTTTCACGAACTCTTGCTAACAAAATAATTTGGTTGCGGTTTTTAATTCGTAGTTTAATTCGTATTGAACTAGACTTACTCTTTTTCTCAGTGCACTGTTGTAAGAAAAAAATTTCCTTCTTCACCCCACCTGGGAGCATAGGGCCTCTACAACTTCTAGAAGATTAATTAATCTTTGGTGTTTTTTTTATCTAACTGATGATTAGCCAGAAGCGAAGTTGTATACAAACACGATATTTTTTTATTTGACTTGAGAACCTCTGGTTTATACCTTCTAAATTGAATTGTTCAAAGCTCACTGTCCAGTAAACTGAACACAAATTAAAGGAATTGATACTCTTCTTAATAAATTTGGTATCAATTTTCTATAACTTGTTAAGCTTCAACTCAAAAGATTTTGAGTACAATATGTTACGTCGGCTTATTATTGCCCAAATCTTAAGAGGACTTGGGCGGAGGGGGTGGAGTCCGATCAGGCACTTTGCCAGCTGAGCTCGCCGTTTTCCGGTCTTGGGATCTTGGTAACCAGAAAAAATATTTATGGTGCCTCGGAAAATTGTTATACGTCATGTTCGACTGTCGACAGTCCGCACTGCCCAATAAGCTTAGCTATTGCTTGATCATAACACATACCCTCCCTTTATGTTTTCTACCAACTCATGTTTTTAATTTAGTTTAAAATTAATAAATTATTGGCTAACTTAATTATATTTGTAAGAAAAATATTAATCTAAGAAAAGTATTTAAGACATATGTATAGAAATTATATTGCGGGTAAATCATTTTCAAAGCGGAGAGTAACGTCGTCTTTAACAGACCCCACATTTAAATTTCTGCGAATATATTTTTTCCGTACCATGCTCTATCAGTTATAGTTCTAAGTATCCTTGATTGAGCTCTCCTTATTACTTCAAGGTTACTAACGCATGCGTTCCCCTATAGCTCGGAGCCATATTTCACACACAGTGCACAGTGCAGTTGGGTTTGCATGGAGCCGCGGCCATATATATTTCCCGTTGAAATATCGCTATGAAATTTCCCGCAAAAATCTAAAAAGTTATTTTGTATATACATGTATAGTACAAAAAATGGCTACATCGGAAAAATGTATCTTATAGTGCCCATAAAAATTATCTTGAGTATAAGATTTTAAATGTCCAACTCCTTTCCCCCTTCCCGCAAGCTTTTCGAAATAAAAACAAATTGTGTTCTCTAATTTTTTTTAATCATAAATAAGAATAAATGTATTTAAATCATAAAAAATAAAATTAATATGATTAGCAAATAAGAAGCATTAGAAATGAAAAGAAGCAAAAAAGAAGCTGTCAACAGTAAGACAGCTTGAGTTTATAAATGAATTGTAACGGCCGTTGGTCGCTAGTTTTTTTTTAGAACGAAACATCTTAGAACAACAAATAAGATGGTAGTAGTGCAAGCTTTTGCATAAGCCCATGCAACGGCTGATCTTAAGATTTCGCTCTTCATTCAGCATCGCTGGCTTAATAATCTAAACTGATAAGCGCAGCCAACTTTGCTTAAAACTTCCAATAAAAGTTTTTAAAATTTTCGCTATATAATTGCCCACGCAGCGTCATTCCATCTCTTATGGTCGTCTGAAAAAAAACTCCGCTTGCCGAGATAGCAAAAGGAAAAACAATAAATCAAATAATTTATTTTAACCCGCCCACGTGAGTTTTCGAGTATTGATTTTGCCGAAGTGTCAAAATAAAATCTCAGATACATTTTTTTTGTTGTTAGTTTGGTTTGTCTAAAAGCCCTTCGTCCACAGCGACGGCAATATTGCTGCTGGATGGTTGAAAATGTATATCTTGGTACGTGGAAAATTTTGGAAAAATTAGGAAATCCTTATTTAATATACAGGTATAATGATTTAATATAATTTAACATCAAATTCAGGCTAAAGGTGCTAAACAAAATGTAAACCAAATAATTTGATCTTGGAATTTTAATAAGTTAATCTCTCGTACGCTCATGAGAATTTAAATGCAATTATAAGTTTTCTTTTGCAGGTTAAACTTGAACAGCATCATAATCACCGCGTAAAGTAAAGTAAGAGCAAACAACAAAATATGTGAGTAATACAGGAAATTTATCAACAGCTTTTTTGTGTTATTGTTCTCAAAATTATCAGGGACTGTAACGGTTATAATTAAAAAAGCAAAAAATTACAAAATAAAAGTTATTTCTTAATTTTTACGAAAAAATTGATTTTTAATACTTAAAATTAATTTTAATAATAAAAAATTAGTAATAATTATTAAGTATCAATTTTTATATAAAAATTACGCAATAACTTTTATTTTCAATTTTTATTATATAAATTGAAAAAAAAAAATTATTCGATAACTTTTATTTTAAAAATTGAAAATAAAGATTGAATCTATATATATATCTAATATATCTTTTGATCCGTAGAAGCCAGATCCAATGTGTATGTATATATATGATCTACACATCAATACCTTTCAGATGGTATATAATAAGTATGTATATATATATAGATTCAATCTTTATTTTCAATTTTTAAAATAAAAGTTATCGAATAATTTTTCTTTTTCAATTTATATAATAAAAATTGAAAATAAAAGTTATTGCGTAATTTTTATATAAAAAATTGATACTTAATAATTATTACTAATTTTTTATTATTAAAATTAATTTTAAGTATTAAAAATCAATTTTTTCGTAAAAATTGAAAAAAAAACATTTATCTTGTTTTTGAATTCGCCATGAAAATTTAACTTATGACAATTTTTTCCAATTTTTTTGGAGACTGTTTTGGGCTTCAATTTTTTTAAACTCATAATAATTATTTGCGGTCCCTGAAAATTATTAAGCCAATTCAAATTTATAAAAAAAAATTAACAGCGTATTGTAGTGTACGGGGGTGCTGGTGAGCAAAATCTATCTCTATCTTTCGATAGTCGGTCGTCTATTAGTGGATGGAAGATACTATTAGAGAGGACCTTATACCTTCAAGCTTGGGATACGCACTCTTGCTAGGCTCGGTTCTAGCTCGCCGGATGTCGGGGTTCTTCCTTGCTTGAGAGGGTACGGTTGCACGCTACCACACTTTACTAGTGCGTAATAATCAAAAGGACAAACAATCAAGACTAATGGTTAAGCCATAAAACAATTAATTTAATATTGTAGTGCGCCGACACACTGAAAATCAACTGAGGATCCGATACTTTCTTTTGGGAATCTAGATGTTATTATCCCTTAAGTCTTTACCCTCCCTTCCATGACAATGTTACTTAAATTCTTGCATTGTCCCTTGGCCAAGATTAAACGATCTCTACCACATTATTAACGAAGTGTTCGACATAAGTACTCGACAGACCATTATTATTATTTATTCAAACTTCATTATTTTAATTAAATCCTATATTTCATTTATAATCATATTTATCTACTCTATGTTCCATTGATTCATATATATAACAATTTAAGAATTTCCTAACATAAGAATTAAAGTTGCGTTTCATATTTAATAAAATTTCATTTCACAATTAATTAAGTAAGAACGATCAATCTTTCATTTATATATTTATGAATTTAAGCTATGAATTTAATAATGCATTTAATGACAATAGGGCGGCAATTATAGGTTTTAAAATAGATATTCGTTTTAATTAGTACTCACGACCTTTTTATTTCTGCTCCATGATACGAGTTGTAAAGTTGGGCCCAAGTTCACATGTCCGTTGATGAGCTGTTGGTCAAAATATTTAATAAAATCTACTTTAAATGACCTATACAAATACCGCACTCATGCCAATTAGCAAGTTGTCAAAGACAAATTAAAGGGATACAAAATAGAGACTCCTAATGGCCGGACATAGATCGCTGGACGGGCTGGACGTTGTCCTCAGCCGTTGGCCTACTTATGGTCGTCTTGGCAGCTCCTTACAGTGGCACGATCCGAGTTGTTGCTGGGCTGGTGCTAGGGCCAGGTGTATAGGCCAGATGTGGCTACACCTTCTGCACCTTCGTAGTAAAGCGATCCTGAGTGTCGATGGGTAGGTACTCCGCGTTGAATAATAATGATCTTGCGTTGAACGGCCGGTGTCCAAATGTCAACCTACGTGGCGGTTGCGTAATCTCGCCACCGGAGGTTATGTTCTCCTCTGGGCCACTTTCCTCAAGAATTTGGGCAAGTTGGAACTGATGCAATCTTGTTGAGCAGGCGTAGGGCGATCAGACTGTATTCGGCCTAATGTAGGAGCAGACTCCCTCAACGGGATCTACTGATATACGTCTGACGCCTCGCCTTCTTATGCGGATCCCTAAGAAAAATTCGGTTAAATTGGAGACCCACAAATTCTGCATTTGTTTACCTTTCACTCACTATCACAAATTCACTAGTTATTATTAATAACCTCCTGGTTATATTAATACACCACAGATCGAGATTATATAAGATAA